ACTAGGCGCCCCATGAAAGACGTGTGCGATCCGCAGAAGCTCGAGCAGCTCACTCGGAAAGCGCTCAACACAATGGACTTCAAATGGGACTGCCATCTCATCCCCCAGGTCTATCACGTTTACCAAGATGGTGAGCCAACTTCCCCAAGGATATGTCACCACATTTTGAAATACGAAAGCATGAGCTCAGAGTTCCCTGCGCTTATGGGGAAGTATGGCCTCAAGGTGAACCTGACGCAGCTGCACACGCATCGCGGCCACCATTGCAACGTGACGCCAACAAGAGCAACAGTCCGCATGGTAGCCTCGTTCTCCTACCTGTCCAGCAGCTAACCTTTAACTTTTTTGGGTAGTATAGATACCAACATGCACAAAAGTGTTAATGCTAGCAAAGCGAGAGATACTGGACACCCAGGTTCTACTCCAAAGACTACAAGGCTTTTGGCTTTGCTGCTCGGCAGGCGATGGTGGCGCTACAGGATGAATCAGAATGACGCGTCTGAGGAAGAGCATCCCAGTGTTTCTGGAGTTTTCAGAAATTATGGGAGCCATTGTGGGGAGGCCTCTATCGGAGGCTTAGTAAATTTAGTAATTGGTTTGGGGACTCCCATTTCTGGAAATGCCTGTGTACATGAGAGCAGCCTGGGCCCGCGAAAAAATCGGAGCAGTGATTGCGCAGCGCTGGCGTCAGATCAGCGGCGCATTTAAGCGGCATGCTGTTACTGTTTCCATGTTGACTGTACGCCCTTATGCTTAGAATGGAGCGTACGAGGAGGTGGGAGGGTGGAGTCAAGGGCAAGTAGGGTTAAGCATGCTGTGCTCCTCGCCATGAAGCAAACTGACAAATCGGCAGGCCTGGGGGCAGCGGCATCAGCGCCTTGAGTCAAGGCATCGTTTCATGACAGTGGAAAAAAAGGCCAGACGCTTCAGCTGGGGACATGATTGCAGATCAGATTTCAAAAGTGAGCTGACGTCAAAGAGACTATATGACAACCCAGGATATTTGCGCTTCACGGGAATCTCGGTGCCCACTACTTCCACTGAGTACTCTTGGTCCAAGAGGACACCTGTAGTGAAACATCTATGCCTTAAACCCTCCTTGAATCCCCCTATATGCCCATCAAAAGCTCAAAGCCTCCCACCCACCCCTTAACCCACCAAAAAACACAAAGCTTGGCCCGTGCTTTTGCCAACAAGCAGCTGCCGGCGCCAAAAGCGCGTCGGACGGCAATAGGCAGTGTCACGGGCTGCTTAGAAGGGTTTTGTGTTTAGGGTTTTGGGGGCGGGGGTAGATGAAGGGCTGTAATCCCCTCAGAGGTCCGTGCTGTAGGGTCTCCAAGGTTCTCCCATAGCAAAGGATTCCCGAAGGGCAGGCACGGATTCGTGATGTTTGGAGTCGATTCCTTACTTAGTTCGCTATCTACCCTCAAGCTAATGCTGCTTGGAGGGCACATCTGGAAACCGAACACGATACTATCGTTTCAGTAGGGCCATGCTGTACGGTAGTTGTTGGGATTGCAGATCTCTGGCGCATAGATGTCATGCGCAATGCCAGCGGATGTTCCGCATGCACCTTGGTACCTGTTGGTCTTTTCTTTGTTCCATGTGGTAGGGGGCGTTTGGTGGTCGTCTTAGCAGCTGTTGCGACCGAAACCTGATGGCAGTGGGATGGGGCTCCATCACTCTGTGCTTGTTTTACAGGCAATTCTAGGTTGAAAATCTTCCATGAATTACCTCCTAGTGTCCCCATATAAGACCAATCCTAAGGCTTGTGCAAGGGTAGCTGCCACATCATAACACGCTACCTGAAAACTCCCTGAAGCGTTGTGTATGGACCACTTGGGGTTCTAGGTTCTACATGAAGTAGGTTTATACATATATATATATATGTACATATGGTGAGTGCATTTATCGGGTGTGCACCAACGCCTCGAAGTCTAAATCCTAAGCCCTAAATCTTGAACCCTGAAGCTTCCATCGCCTTTGTCTTGCCAATATAGCGCTTCGCAGTTCATTTGTACCATACCATCAAGAGAAGCCCGGTTCAAAGTCATGTGTATACATTAAGGTTTAGGGTTTAGGGTTTATGCATGCCTCTCTCTCTCTCTCTCTCTCTCTCTCTCTCACTCTCTGTACAGATTAGCGAAAACCCTTAACCTCAAATCCATAACCCTGAACACCCACAAAGCCCAAGCCCTGAACAACGAAGTCCTCCTCCTACTTTGGGCGCAAGTGCTTGGCTGCGCGGTAGCTGTCCCAGGCGATGGGGGATTAGGGCTTTGAAGCAGCACCCCACATTCAAGTAGGACCCTGCCGCGGTTGTGATTAGTGTAAGCCTGCACGACCTGTAGTTTATGGGTTCCCTAAAGAACACACCCTGCACTACCCCCTCTTTAGGTTCTGCCTTGCTTTGTCGTAATCAAGCCTAGCTATGCCTAATGGGAGGGAAACCTTAGGCGGGATGCTGTTATGATGAAGGGAACCCCTGATACGTATGCGTTCACTATTTCGGATTCAGGGACGACCAGAGTTGTGAGAATTTGAGTACGGGTCATGCAGGATTTCGTCAATCAGCTGTATCAATTAGAGAGTTATGAAGGGGTTAGTTCTTCAAGGGCATGGAGAAGCTTGCTGGCAGCTCAACTTGGCTGAGTTTCAGAGAGTTGGATCAATTGTTCGGCAAATCCCTTCCGCTAGTGTCAAGCACCCGCACTGCCCACAGGTTTGAGAGAAGCGGTCCATTGTCTGGAGTGTGAGATTTTTTGTTTACACGGAGCTTGTTTTTGAAGCAAGGGGATTGGTGAGGCGAAGCCCAAAAGATAATCCGGCAACTTCTCGCTATTAATTAAGTATTGTCCCTCATAAGTACTATTGTAGATGGCACCAGCGATTCGACATATACCTACCCGGGGGATTGCGGGTTGTAGGCTTGCAGGGCCTCTTATCAATCTGTAGACCTTCAAACCCCAAAAGCCCCGAAACCCCAACTGGCTCCTAAACTCCAACCCTGACCTCATAAACGAACCTAAATTCAATCCCAAACCCAAACTCTTGACTCTGAACCCAACACTCTGAACCCCAGACCCCAATCCTACACTAAAAGGCAAAGCTTGGTTCTCAACCTTTACCCGCAGGTCCGAGTTTAGGTTTTGGGTTTAGGATGCCTTTGGAAGGCGAGGATGAGCACTGTGCCCTGCAACTTGGTGAGCTTGAAGACATTGTATATAGAAATAAATCAATAGATATTAGTGCCATAGTGTCCAAGGTTTGTATAGAATCTTTGAAGTCATGCAGGATATTCAGTATGAACTGCATCCCTCAATCCTGAACCCTGAATCCCATAACCTTAATCGTAGACCGTAAGCCTATACATGTCTACACGCTGCGCGCTCGTCATCTGCTTTTGCGGCCTTGAGTGCGCTAAGTCACGAAGTGTAGCACAGGGGTCTTATGGGAGTCCCTTCAGCAGCAGTTTTAGGGATGTGGGTTTGGGGTTTAGGATTGAGGGAGTAGGGTTTAGGGTTGAGACTACTATGGAAACTGCCCGCCGGTAAACTACATTGGGGTCATGCCGCAAACCCCCCTCCACATGGCAAAGTCCTAAAAGGTCAGAAGAAGCAGCGCTTTGCGTCTAGAGTTTGCAAGGATCCCGAAGCCCTAAGCCCTCAAATCCTAAACGCTGCCGGGTTTAAGGTGGACTCTCCTTCCACCCTCTTTGCATCCTTAGGCATCCTCAGGGTACCCCCATGTCCAAAAAGCCTGATTTATCTGGAGCACCTTAGCGCGTAAGAGGAGGAGAAGCCTCCTAACCACGAAATTCTACATCCTTAATCCCTAAACACTAAACTCTTCAGCCCTCAACCCGAAATTCTAAACCCTGAAGCCCTAAACCCCAAGCCCTAGTTGCTGCAGCCTAAACTTGGTACACATCCTGGCTTCTGTCCCCAAACCTTATAAACCCTATAGCCCTCAATTCCTATAACCCCTATAACCCTAAAGTCAGAACCTGCTCAGACAAGGTTGGTGCTAAGAACCTTAAGGCAGACTAACTACAATCAGGACGCCCCTTCATTAAGTATGTCTCCAATCTGTAATCTGTGATAGCGTGGTTTAGGTTCTGAACAGCAGCCCAGTAAAGCTCGCCATTCTGCCCCAGGCAACTACCTGTGAAGCAGGGCGACCTTCCGAAGGTCAAGATATGATACCTAGCCTGGCCTCAAATCCTGACCGTTAAAGGAGTTAGGTTAGGTAGGGTTAAGGCTTCAGGGGTGTAGGGTTCAGGGTTTAGAGTTCAGGCATTTAGGGACTTGAGGCTTACGCTTTGGGTTTAGGGATTTAGGGTCTAGGGTGTGGGGCTAATGTTACGTAATCTAATGCAAAAAGGCGCAGCAACCTGGAGATCTTCGAGATTGCCTTGACTTCGGTTTAGGATGTATACAGGTTTATGTTTCACGGATGGAAGTTGGCTTGTGATACAAATTTTTGTTTTGGAGTTCAAGTTGTTACTCATACAGGTACTGGTACGTAGATTTTGGGATCTGAAGCTTTAGGATAATGGGGAATGAACTGGAAGCGAAAGGCAACATCAAATGGACACTGATAGGGTTTTTGGGATTCACGGGCGCTTCTGGGTCATTGTTGGATATCACGTTTGGCCATCAAAGGGCTCCACTTCAAAGGTTTAGGCTCAGGGGGTTCTATCCCTGTTGGGTGGACGCGGTTACAAGACTCATGCGTAGCAATTCAATTTCAAAGCAGCTTTTGCACTTTGAGGGCCGTGTGCTGTGCATGTGCCAGATCTCTTGTGCAACCTACGAGCTAACCCCCAAGGACCCTCGCTCAACTGAGTCCTGAACCCGAGAGGGCATAAAAGCCCTCAGGTGTGCAGCAGCCCTGAAATGCGTGCGAAGCCGAAACTGGGTTGCTGGCGAGGCTCTTCAGTTAAATTACCATCATATGGATACATGGTACATAATATGGATTCCGTATGATGGTGGTGTATTATTCACGGTCCCTTGACTCTAACCGGGACAGGATTCAAGGCCGTTGGCTTTAACCAGCAAATCCTTGACCCCACACGTGAAGCCCTTACTTGGAGGATCAGCGAAGCTTGAAGGTTTCAGTCCGTATGCTCATAAAGCGGCCGACACCCTTACTTTACTAATTCCTTTCAGACCCTCCAAGTAGTGAGGTTTGTGATATCAGCATCCGAGGTCTGAAAAGAATTTTGGAACGCGGTTAAATTCCACAAGAACGGCACTGAATGTTAGGACTCAGTAGAAGCGCCCCCCCCCCCCAACAGTGGCTTATCGTCTTACTTATATCCTAAGCCATAAGCCAAGGGTGCAATTCTCCTTCCCATGCAGGTTGCCATATTCCTCACGACGCACTGGGGCAAAAGACACCAAAGCTATGTTCCGTGCTGGGATATGGCCACGAAGACGTTTCCACTCCTGCGTAACGCAGACCTGCTGCTGTACACCGCCAAGGCGGGCAACCTATGGAGTTTAAGGGCGTAGGGATTTCGGCATTTAGGGAAGTGGGGGTTTGGGTTTAGGGATCAGACTGCTAGGGGAGTTGGGGTTCGGGGTTTAGGGTGGACACTGCA